CATGTAGCCCCCCTCCCCCCTTTCCTCTTTTATTTGGCCGCGACGCGCCGTGCCAATCTCTCTCTAGCATCTCTCGCGCTTTTACAGATTGGTTCCCGAAGATGTGCTCCTGCCTCGACGGCAGCTCCACGCTGCCGAGTAATCGAGCCGCAAGCTACGAAAGGCTCGGTTCCGATCTCACGATCTTCGAGCTCAACAGCACCAGGAGTCGAAGAAGAGATCAGGATTCGATCGACAGCGAAAGACAGGTAATGTGCTTAAGGTATTTTCGTTTACTTACGATAGATTTTGTATCGATTCTCAACGCTGTGCATACGCTCGAAAAAAATTGAAATATGTATAAAATAGTTATGAATACTAATTGCGTTTAATTTACTTAAAATAAGTGAAATTTATATATCGCGTAAAATGAAAAATAAAATATAGAGCTCGTAAATAAAATAATTAATGCAATATACGCTCCCTTTATAAGGAGGAAGTAAGAATTTATTGTCATCAATTTGTAAATTTATTTTGTTGTATAAAATACGTAAAATGTGAATTATAAAGCAAAATATATATTTACGAGTGTAGTGGAATAAAAAAATTAACAATTGAACTATAATAAAAATTAATCAAGATTAATTGCAAAAGAAGAAGCTATAAACTAATTTAATTATCGATCCATTAATTTGATTATCGATTTAGAAGTATTGCTTTAGATTACTGCCTTGGAAGTCTATTAATAATAACGGCACGTAGTTTACGATATATAAGCAATTGCATTTCATAGATATAAATTTAATTTAAGAAAAATTTTAAGAAATTATAAGATACCCAAGATTTTATCTTGTCAAGCGACTGTTCCTCATCTGTTTATCTCACAATTTAATTCAATTGATCTCTCATTACGAGTCAATTTTATTATGTATTTTAATTCTATCGCATATTTTATCGTTTCTAATGTTTATTTAATTAGGAAGAATTGCGGTTCTACAATAATGATCACACCTTTACAACCGTGGTCGTGGAGAAGAATCTTCGAACTATCGATCTCTGCGAACTGCTTAAAGTAAAAAGAAACACGATCGGCGCAGCCTGGTCGATAATTGAGACATGGCCGAAACTTGGAATCGGTACGTAGCATCATCCTAAATATCACCTCACTCGTGCGTTTATCGCGTGACGTTCTCTTCGCACCGTTGCGCGATTATTTTGGGGGGCGATTATTTATCCGCGAACTCTCCCGGATCTCTCTCGTGAATGTAAGTTAAGAAATTAGTCAGCAAGCACGTTCCTCATGCATTTCTCATGTTCACGCAAGTGGCGATGTGCCATTGACTTTTACTTTCAAAGCGTACGAATTCTCCTCTTTTACGTGATTACTTGCTTCGGATGTTATCGGTCGAATCGTTCATTTGTACATTTTTCATCTTTTGGAAGCGTTAATTATATCCTCGTCTCCATTAACGTGTACTTTAATTATATTTTTCTTTCTAATTATATGTTCTTTAATTATATTTTTTCTATATCTCTTTTTCTTTTTTCCTTTTTTAATTTTAAGAATTAGAAAAAGAAAAAACATATAAAGCGTAAATTGAATTTAGAGATTAAAGTTAATCTACATTGGTAGAAATGGAGATTAGAGAAATATGAATATTTTTTGTACGTTTTATATAATCCACACATATAATTTCATATTTATATTTCTGAAACGCGCATACAAATTCAAAGACATACAAATGTGATAAACGTATACTCAAACATAACGGAACATGAAATTTACAGAATTAAACGTTTAATTCGATATCCGAATTGTTATCGGGTTTTAACGATAACGTGGGACGGAGACAAATATGCCCGAATATATATAGGGAAATGCGGAGAATCGGTGGATATTTCGATTATTGGCGCGCGTCGCGCACGGAAGCTATTTGGGAATTTGGGGACAAACAATTTATTTATAAAAATATCGTCGCGCGTGCGAAACGCGCGGATAATTCGTTAGAAAGTTCGAGACGCGCCGATCGTCAGGCTCGAACGAGGTAACGCAATCAGCGCCCGTAATGTATCGGGGGAAAAACTTCCAGTCGTTTAAATTTTCCCTTCACGGCATTGACTCGGAACGAGATCGGAAACGAGATCGGAAATGATGTGTGCGTGAGAGGCGGAGGGGGGGAGAAGGAACGAAGGGGGTTGGAGAGGCCGTAAAGACGGCACAGAGCTCTATAATGCAGCCGAGAATCAATAGCGGGCGAGAAACCTCCAGGAGGTTTGGTGCAGGTCAGAGACGCGACTCGTGTCGGTTGGTGTCTCCATGCGGAATGTTTGTTTAGAGATCCAGGCGAAATATGCTGTTCCAGTCTAACGTGTTTTCCATGAAATCGTTTTACGAAACTTTCGTCGTTTGGCGAGATTATCTGCGAGCCAACTGCGCGTGGCTATAAAATTCACTTGAACATCTATAGGAATATGTTTTTAAGTTAATTATATGTTATAAAAAGTTTGATTTTTTTAAACATTGTTATTATTATTATGAGGTAATTAGATTGATTATCTGTGTGATGAATATAGAATACATGAAAAGTAGTAAAAAAATTGCTAAATATTATTATCATGTTGATAATAGCAACATATACTTGTTGTAAATAGGATGAGTTTTTCTGTTACAGAACGTACGTTAGAAGACCACGAAGATATCCTCGCTGTTCATAGGGAATTGGAAATGTTCGCTTCGCGGTACGAGAGGAGGTTCTATTTCAATCAGGACTTTTTGAAATACGAAGTATTCATTAAGCCAATGGTAAGATAGAATTCTGTTATCTCGTTTGTTTATTCACTTCTAAAGTTTTTTAAAATATATAATAAAGTTTTTGTATTCATTGATATACTCTTATCGAATGGTAAATATTATTCAATTCAAATATGCTAACTTACCGACTGAACAAATCTGCTATTTAAGCTATAGTTTCAATTGGATTTTAACTTAGATAAATACTGTTGAATAAACATTGCAAATCTTTAAGAAAATCATAAGCTATTTTGTTTCTTATTATTTTTTTATTATGTTGAATAATAAATTTTACTCAATTTGAATATGTTAATTTACCAACTGATTTAACTTATCAGCAAGTTGCGGTTGGTTTTTGAAGCAACCGACGAGATCAGAGACTGGTTGATTTGAGATAAATTTTTTCATCAGTATTCTCCAATTTGTCCAGAAGATATAGAAATCGTGTCTCTTGATATTTATAATTTTAATTTTTTCATTTTTATTATAAATGGTCTGATGTCGAGGAGCATAATAGTATATACTTTTGTGAGATTGTAATTTATTTTATAGATTTAAATATTAAAAATAATGTTTTTTTTTTAGTTATCTTCCAATTTACATAATATTCTAAAATAGTTATCGACAGTCGACATTTTTTTAATACTGTGCCGGTATCTGTACGTGTCGGTATGAGAATATTATATGTGAAATTTTCCGACAGATTCCTTGTTTACCGACGAATCGCGAATTTCTAAGCGCGAGAAGTTTTAGAGAAATTGTTAAGATGGCACGAGAAACGCTTTTTCGATATCGGAGAGGCGATGGAGTTTCAAGAATTCGGTAGTATTGATTGGGCATTCATGTCAAATTTTTGCAGGATTTTGCAGAATTGAACGCATAGTTTCGTTTTAAATGTATCGAGATTATATAGGAAATACAAATATTGGAAATATGAAACTGAATAAAATCTCACCAACAAATCTCTTATCATTTTGCTGAATTTGTAGAAAAATAAAAATAATAATTTTATGACACATAAAAAGATGCCGATTTATCGGTAATTCTTTGGAGATAATTAGACTCATTAATTAATACATTTGAACGGATATCAATTAGCGGATTTGAAACTTAATCAGCTATGGGTTCATAAATCTTGTACCCTCGCCGATAATTGGCCAATTAAAAGATAACGAGCATAGAAACTTGAGGAATGAACGTCGTAATCGACACTTTTTGGGGACTCTTGAAATGATTGTTTCTTTTTTTCTTTTTTCTTTTTTTTTCTTTTTTTTTCTTTTTTTTTTTTTCTTTTTCGTTAAACAGAGGATTCTTCGTTTGTGACTGTATGCGTTCCATTGAAATCTTCAAATAGACTCTTAAGTAATACGTGTGTCTATAGAGCTTCCTCGTCGAAATACTTACGAAATACGAGAGATATTTATATTTCCCCGTTCCCGAAATATTTCGGATCCACCTCCGCGTCGCGCTTCTCCCCCCCCCCACCCCCCAACTTACTCTCGTGAATTTTAGAAACATTTCGGAAATTCCGGTTCCGTCCACCTGATCCGTCCGTTTTCAAAATATAAAAATGACGATACATGGAGATGTCTCCTCCAATTTTTTTTTTTCCAGCAATTTTTTCCCGCGGACATGATCACGTTTCCCAGCGGGGAGGAGAGGGGCACGTTCACCGACGCCGAGAGCGCGCTAAGGGTGAGTACACGTGCGATTTCCTGCCGATGCGATCGCGCGAACGAGCGAAAACGGCTCTGACTGAGAGACACGTAAATACACGTTGCTCACGTTTTCACGTTGCAGAATTACCTGTTACGGGAGGATAGCGAGTGCCCGTACGTATTCAGCATGGTTTGGATGCGAAATGCGAGTTCAAGCTGGAAGAAGATGTACATGCTACTCCAAGGCCGGAAACTCTACACGACAAAGAAAGTGAGTGAATCACATTCTCGTGTTAGTAATTGCGATTTTTATTTTGTAATTTAATTCGTATTACGTGCGATTTTAAATCAATGTGGTGTACTTGTCGGCAGACTCTCTCTCTCTCTCTCTCTCTTTCTCTCTCTGTCTCTCTGTCTCTCTCGCTCGCTCTCGACGAGTTCCTCTTCTAAGTCACGATTCCGAATACGAATTATGAAGCTTTAAACGGTCCGCGAAAGAATTACTCAGCGTTGCTGGCCACTCAATTCAAACGCACGCATTATCTTCCATTTTGCGGCTACAGGCTGACGTCTCGGAATACGGGAAGACGTTACGGTTGTTACGTTACATAAAGAAATACTGCTTCCCAATGTTAATAGGGGAAACACATATTCAGCGCGTGATGATTAATACGTTAACATGAAGCGATGGTGAGTTTCTCTTCTTTTCCTACGCTCGATTATCTTTATGCGATCGCAGTAGAAAATGTAATTTCGCGACGGAGATCGGGTTCTTCTCTGACTCATCGTCGGTGAAACGTTCTTTAAAGACCGAGTAAGCGATTCCTAGACGATAAACGGTCGTCAAGACTCTACGTGCATCGATGCGCATAGTTCTCGCAGGTGTTAACACTTTTCTCAAGGACTTTACGGTGCCCGTCCGTTACACACGATGAGTAGTCAGGACGTATCGCTGGCAATTTATTTGTAAGCCATTAAACGACATTAACATGTAACAGCTGGGACGCTTTTGTAGCGGAAGATACGAGAAACTTGCTACTTTTTTTTTTTTTTTTCCCGAGCGAAATAAAGGAAAGCTTTATCGAGAATAATTTTATATTATATAAATACGGCATGAAGTTCGAGTAATAAATTTTTGCGACGGTTTAATTTGCTGATGTTTACTTCATTCGCTTTTCTTATCCACGGTATAATAATTTGTTCAAAAAAGAATCCGGATGCGGTTTACAAGACGCGGCCGGCGCGTCCCTTTGGCCCTCGTATTCGCGAAGTGTTGTTTGTTTTCGCGACGCGTCGGTTTGACAGTAACGTTGATGTTCGAATTCAGCCGTCAAGCCAAATTCATTTGCATAATTAACACCGTGCGATACGCCGGCAACGCCTTCGCGGCTCGTTCGATAACCGATACGCGAAGGTAGTCATTTCCGAGATAACTAGCGGCTAGTTAATATACACGGTTCCGGAATTCAGCCCGTGGGCGCGCCGTTTGTTTTAAAATTAATTTTATTCGATTATCGATTACCCGCGCCGCGGGTACGATACCGGTAAGCTGTGCTTCGCCGTTAAAATTGACCGCCGTCGGACGGTCGTTTGGCGAACGTGCTTCCGAGTCGCGCATCATTAATCGCCCCGCATTAAAGCCAGAATCGCATCGGCGGACGCGCGAGCGGGCGATTATCCGAAATATCCGAAAAAAAAAAGTCCATTTGTCACGCACGCGTAAAATGTCGAGTGAGTTACGACCGCGATCGCTTTATCACTGGCCGGTGATACATCTAATTAAATAGCGCGACGAATAATTACAGACGCACTCGTGTACGTAGAGAGCCCGCGCCGGCCGCTCGGTGAAATATTATCGCTGAATATTCTGCCGTTATCCGCGTAGATCCGATGCTTTGATACACATTTATTAATATGTATTTACCGACGTATATGATATTCGACAAAGTGACCGAATGTGATTTTTCGTCACGCTGCAATTTATTTCCGACGAGCAATTTCACCGAGTCTATTTTATATAGTTA